ATCACCAATAAATTTATTTTCAGCAGAAAACAATATGGACAATAAGGGTGCAACCATTTAGCTTCAAAAGGGCGGGGGGTATGGTTTTTTGTTTGAGTTAGATTTTTTTTTTCACGCAAAGGGCTTCAACACTATCAATCAAAATTATTTGGTCAAAAATTAACACTAGAAGGTATGGGGATAATCTGGATTCAGAATATTTTTTTGTCCTCTGCTTGATTAGAGTATTATTTTTCATAAATTTAGGAATCAGAATATTTTTGAAGAAAAAAAAAACATACTCCATCCTGCCTTTTGAAGTTCAATGATCGTTCCCTTAACATTTTCCATCTGAACTTATTATTTTATTTTAGACAAAAACTATATGTAGGACATTCGTCCTGAACATGCATGAAATATTTGCCACAGGACGTTAAGCAAACTAACAATCAATCAATATGTAGGACATAGTCTTGGTAAGCTGGCATTCAAGGTAGCGCCTTCCTGATATTATTGAAAATAGATATTTAGCGCATTTTCAGCCTTTTTTTTCATATTCATGCACAGCGTGGACAAAATTTATAACTTTTCAATATATATATTCAGTTTCGATTCCTGACATCACTGAAGAGACATCATTTGACGAAATCCGGATATGGTGTACAAAAACCTTTGCACCTTTTGTTTGCGGTATATCATCTTTTCCGCAAGTTTATTGTTTTCTGTTTAGTATTAAATTTAAAATTAAGATCCATTTATTACATCGGTGATCCGTTTATTTGGCAATCGCCAATAGCAGTCAGCAGGGTTTAAAAACATTTGTTGTTCGACCTGTTAGTCAAATGCGTTTTGTTAAAATATACCGATGTAATAAATGGATCTTTCTTATGAATTCTAATATGACGACCTATTATCGTCAACCAGTATAATCACAATATATCTACCTTTAGCGAAAACGCAGTAATACACACAAACGGCTGTTCCGTGTTACGACCAACTTATTTATACTGCCAGATATTCTCAATTTTCTACATCAAAATCCCCAGTTTACGAAGGCCAAGCTTCAGATACAATACATTTATCTCTATTCTACAGCAAAATCAACAAATCAGTCCATTTCAATTTATTTTTCATGGTAAAATTTCATAAAACGAAAATTCCGCGAAATGATGTTATTGTCTTGACATGGCAACGAAACAAGGTGACGTCACAAATATGTTTCCGTCAACAAAAAATCAAATGTAAATACCGGGCGTGTTAACATGTTAACGCTTCTTGTACGCCTCAGAACGAATAAAATTACATTGGAAGAAAATTTATAAGTGAAAAATGCGATTAAAAAAATAATCATTGAATTATATAATATTACTAATATAATCAAAATTGGGTAAAACGGAACAGCCAAAACAGCATCGTATGTATAGGGCTTTCACGGTTAACAAAATTACCAAATTTGTCCTATTAGAATCGAAATAATTCATGGCAGCCGTAGATTTGTTTTCATTTAACCATGGGTTTGGCATTTATATTCGTATTTTACCCCTCGCTAACGCTCAGGGTAAAATAATCGAATATAAATGCCCAACCAATGGTTAAATGAAAACAAATCTACGGCTGCCATGAATTATTTCTTAATTTAATACTAAACAGAAAACAATAAACTTGCGGAAAAGATGCCTGATGGTATACCGCAAACAAAGGTGCAAAGGTTTTTGTACACCATATCCGGATTTCGACAATTAATGTCTCTTCAGTGATGTAAGGAATCGAAACGGTATTTGGAAAGCCATACAATTTACCTCAATTCAGGATAGACTCTTGAATTTTGAGGAGTCAAAACAGGATGAACGGATCATATAAACCCGAAGGCAAATATAATACAAGCCCAAACGTAAAAATATAAACAAGTCTAAATTGAAAACAACGTTCAAACCTATGTGTGCGTTGGATAAAAACCGCAATTTGTATACGTATGTATGCAAAACAAATTTCTTGTTAGAGGGGTCTAAATACAGCACAAACAACATTTTTTTCCAAAAGACCAAAAAAGTAACAAAGTATATTTTAACAAAACGCGTTTGACTAACAGGTCGAACAACAAATGTTCTTAAACCCTGCTGACTGCCATTGGCGATTGCCAAATAAACGGATCACCGATGTAATAAATGTATATATGAATAAAAAAATCAATTTTGTCTTCGTGAAAATGTATAGCATGATAGAAATGATTGTCATCAGATTTCAAAGGACGTTTCATGTTAGTATATTAGTCTTCGGTTTTTATGCGTGATCAGTTTGGCGCCTATTGCTTACTGTTCGCTGGCTTATTGTTCGCTAGCTTGATACACCTTATTGTTCGCTGGCTTATTGTTCGCTAGCTTGATACGCCTTATTGTTCGCTGGCTTATTGTTCGCTAGCTTGATACACCTTATTGTTCGCTGGCTTATTGTTCGCTAGCTTGATACACCTTATTGTTCGCTGGCTTATTGTTCGCTAGCTTGATACACCTTATTGTTCGCTAGCTTGATACACCTTATTGTTCGCTGGCTTATTGTTCGCTAGCTTGAGTCTGGTAGTTGATCAACACCATTACAAATAAGAAATGTGTGTACTTTTCCACAATGTGAAGTATCAACTCAACTTTTCAGTTGCGCTTATATCAATTCCAAATAGGGAAAAGAAATCTACCGTTTCTATTGAGTTTTGTACCAATTTGTCCATTATACAATTTTCATTATTCTTTAATAATTTGTGGTCATATTTTCTATTAGTTTTTATAACAATTAGTGTCGTTTCTATGGTATTATGAATTTGCAATTAACGGGCATAGGACATTTCAGCGAAAATAAAAAATGCACATAGGGTCATTTGAGCGAAAATAAAAAAATGCACATAGGGTCATTTGAGCGCCGACATCATAGGACATTTCAGCGCCGGAATATCAACCTTACCTGGATTTTCAATTAGGACTTTTGAGCGAAATTTCTGTGATACTTTTATATGAATTAAGAAAATATTTTTAAAAAGTAAAATAAAAAAAGAGTAAGTTTTTAAATGTATTTTTTTTATTTTGTACCCGAGTAATTCGACCAGTTCTGGATATAGTTAATGGTAGTGTAGCCCAGAGTTGATTACTAGACTGAAACTTACATCACAGACGAATCGTTGTCTCTGTCTCTGCCCATGATAATGAGCAATTTTATCATAGCCTTATGACAGTGCTTTGTTTTAAACTATGTGTGTTATAACTCCACATTTTACTAACTATATTCTGCTCGAAATCCTACTTCCACCCCCCCCCTCCCCCCCCCCCCTTCCCCCTTGGTGAGCAGGAGTAACATGTTATATCTGGCGAACGGAAGAGATACTCCTTCATCATTCTTAAATTTTATTTCGCTCAAATGTCTTTAAATTTTGGCTCTTAAATGTCCTTTACTTTGGCGCGCAAACGTCCTTTATTATCGCTCAAATGTCCATTGCCTCAATTAACATTCCCTGACAAGATTTTCTGAATTAATGTCTATTGTTCATCAAATTTCTATTTCTAGTAATTGAGGCTGCATGTCAGGTCAAAGGAGTGATCAAAAATACTTCATAACGGCGATAATAAGTGCATCACTTCTCTTAATTTCCGTTCCAACTATTCTTAGTCTTTGATGCATTATTTTTTATTATTAATTGTTTTTGGCTTTTAACAAGCTTTCAGTAACTGCGAGTACTCTCGTGTTAATTTGACCTGTTTATACAATTTGTAATGTATTTTTGTTATTTAATGTTTTCTTATTCAGTGTTATATCTAATCTCACTATTTTTAATATATACCACCTTTGATAAGCGTTTAGTATGACGATAAATTTTCACTTTGTTCTCGTACTAGGAACAACAAAATTATTTATTTTATAAAAATTATTTCCGTACTCCATGTATACGGTACCTTACAACAAAATTATTTTATTTACCTGTGTACGTTATTATATTTGGCGGCATTTTGTACAAGTTTATGGTTGTATTTCTGATATTGTTAAACATCTAACCCCCTTGTTTTATTAATTTTGTATTTACATTGTGTCATATATCAAATTTATTCGTTCAGTGTATGTTCACTTGTTTTTGTTAATATGTCTTTTGATTGAGTTAAGCCATTTCAATTGATATGTTATAGTGTGTCTTTCTATGTTGTGATTTTACACTACTGTTTCAGGTAGGGTGAAGGTTGGCGCCTATTAAAACGTTTAAACCCGCTGCATTTGTTTGCACCTGTCCTAAGTCAGGAACCTGATGTTCAGTGGTTGTCGTTTGTTGATGTGATTCATAAGTGTTTCTCGTTTCTCGTTTTTTTATAGATTAGACCGTTGGTTTTCCTTTTTGAATGTTTTTACACTAATCATTTTGGGGCCCTTTATAGCTTGCTGTTCGGTGTGAGCCAATGCTCCGTGTTGAAGGCCGTACTTTGACTGACCTATAATGGTTAACTTTTACAAATTGTGACTTGGATGGAGAGTTGTCTCATTGGCATTCATACCACATCTTCTTATATTCATGATAGTCCATATCGTGAATATAGATTGTTTTTATGATATTTTCTATTTTCAAAGACGACAACAGTTATGTTTAAAGGCGGTTATCTTCATAAATAATATTTTAAAAGACAATTCTCTATGATTTACACAAAGAGTGAAGCAAAGTAATTCAAATAGATACTTTAGAAGATTTTGATTTGTGGGTTGTTTTTTTTTCGGTTGGTGATGGTTGTTAGGGAGCATTAAATGTTTTATATAATAACCATCATTTGGTACGTTATATATTAAAATGTTTGTGACGACAGGAAATAAGTCCTTGTTTTCTCTTTGTTGTAGTTGGCCACCATATTGATTCGCAATTTAAATTTTCAGAAAATTCAGAATTATCACAACCCGCTGCATGCAGTTGTAGGTTTACTTTATAGGTGAATTTAAAGCTGAATATTACAAAAGGTCTTCTCCTTCGACTTTATCATTTAAAAAGATTATATAAAACTCACCTGTGCAACTCACTACATTCACATAGCATTGAACATCCGTGTCCGTAAAGATTTTGTGGACAAGGAGTGCAGGACAGTCCAGTCCTCGACTTAAAACCAATTGCACATGCTAAAAAAAGTTTAGTATATCATTCTTTAAAACATCCATCTAAAACTATTCAAGGAAAAATCAAAAGACTTCCATTCATGGAGTATGTTTTACTCATTAGATCATATATTTCTCCTAATCATCTTACAATATTTCCGAACGAGGTTCTTACATTTATACATAAGGCATGTTACCATTTCCATTGTCAGTTTTGTTTTAAAAGATTGTATTGATGGACATTCTTAGTTTTGTCAAATGTTACGTTAAAAAGGGACCATACATATCAGAGGGGTTTTCATAGCGACGGAAAGCAAAAGAGTCAGTAAACATATTTTAAAATTCCACTTTTAATCTCAAATTGTTCACACTTCTTCAGTGTTTTCTTACCTGCAGTTTGTATTTGTTACCTTCTCTATGAGAGTTCTGAAACTTTTGCGCATGATATGCGTCAAGATTATAATTGCACGACAGATAAGCAATATTCAAGTATGTGGTATCTGTAACCCTGTAAAAGTAATTTTCGTGAAGGTTGCGCACTTTTACGTCATCTATGTCAGCTAAAGATACATCTATATTGGAATAAATAAACTTTATGTACCACCACTAGGATTGCCACTACTAAAAGCAAAGATTACCTTAAGTGACTTTGAATGTCTTATTTGGGCCTTTTCTGATGAAGGATTCATTGATTGATTATTGATTGCTAAATGTCCAGTGGCAAATATGTCATGCAGAACGAGAACATATTAACAATTGTCAAAATCGGTAGGTTCTATAATAGAGGCCGTCTGGGATGAAGGTTGGGGAAATTTGGACTGCCACTGGATAATGAGGGTATATTGGATAGGAACAGAAATTTTGTCTTGCAAAAGGCCATCTACGGACCCCTCAAAGAGTTGTTGCAAGGGTTCTTAACTTGCAGAAAACGTTGCACTCTATTTTCACGAGGTATCGGATTTATCGTCTCCATTCTGACCGGACATGGCTGCGTACTTGAACAAACCGCACAGCCAAACGGACGCCCCTATATATATATATATATATCTATCTATACTATTAAACGAGAAGACCTCATTTTGTGTGTCGCTTCTCTTCCTTCCACAATAAATAAATCATCATGCCTCTGTGTCCTATAGGTACCTTGCATAGTCGCATTTGTCATCCATTCTTATGATTATTCAGTATGGGTTATTTGGGGAGAAAAACGAAAATAAAGACGTCCGGATATTGTTTCCGTTATCAGACCGACTTTTAAGTCATAGACAAGACTTCCGGTTTTAAACTTACAAATAATATTTTCATAAGTCCTCGGGGACAGGACAATCATTTTCGCGTTTATCTGCATGTATACTATGATTATACTACTATAATATATAGAGACTCTTTACAAATTGTAGCAGTGATCGCCGTGGAGAAGAAACTTGAAATTGATAGTTAATAGCACATACACTTTATTTATAATATACGTATGTTAATAGTATCTAGAAACGCGAAAATAATGGAATTCAACAGAAAACAAAAAAATAACGGACTTTGGAAAAAAGAGAGAGGGCTTAAAAATATTGCCCTGTCTCCAAGTACCTATGATTTTTGATACCTTTTCTGAAATTGTCCAGACATAACAGTGGCGGATCCAGAAATTTTCATAAGGGGTTGGGGGGGGGGGGGGGGGGGGGGGGGGGCACTGACTGCCTAAGAGGGGTCCCGCTCCAGTCATGCATCATTGATTCCCTATATAATCAACAAATTTTTCCCACAAAGGAGGGGGGATCCGAGCCCCCTGAAAAACCCTCTAAATCCGCCTCGATCTGCATGTAATCTTTCACAACAATTCATCCTACAACAGTTAACATACTTTCAACCAAGCTCTAAATGCCCGCGATTTCGCGGGTGTGTTCTAGTATATATATATTTGGCAAGGATTTAACTGCCGGTCGGAAGAATTCCTAAATGACCATATTTCTATTCCCCAGTTACCATTTGGGAGAGACCTTTTCTGATTTTGGTGGTTTTACGAACGTTTAGTCTCTAACGTACCTGGTAAAATAAACTGCTTCGCCGAGCGCAGCTGGATACGACCGCAGAGGTCCAACCCTGAACAGTTGGGGCAAAAATGGACACAATATTAAAGCTTGATACAGGTCTGAATTTGGATTGTAATTAAATATTTGACACATTATAGGTTTCTGACACAGAATAAATGTAGTCAAAGAACTTGAAATTGGTTATATGATATGAATTTATATTCAATTGAAGATTTCTTGCTGTTGTGCAATACCCTGTGCTGTTGCGCAATACTTAGCAAATCTGTTTTCAGACTACTTAGTATATACAAAGAATTAGCAAAATAAATTGTGACCCCCAATTTTTTTCTTTGGAAAATTGACAATTTCTTAAATCTTTAAAAAAAAAGATTGACCCCCCAAAAAATATTTTTTTACCCCCCTCCAAAAAAAATAATATTTGAAGAGAATTTTCTATTGAGGAAAAAAACTTGCCCCCCCCCCCCCAAAAAAAAAAAAAAAAAAATTACCCCCCCCCCCCCCTTTTCCAAAAAAACTAATTTTGAAGAAAGTTTCTTTTTGTAAAATATGGTACAAATTAAGAGACATCCATACAATGCTTTGTTTTACCCTTTTTGGCCCCTAATTCCTGAACGGTTTGGGCAATTACCCCCAAAATAAATCCCAACCTTCTACTTGTGGTATTGAACCTTGTGGTACAATTTCAGAGCAATCAAAATACTTCTACACAAGTTATTGTCCTGAAACTAGAAAAATGCTTGTTTTGGCCCCTTTTTGGTCCCTAATTCCTAAACGGTTGGGACCATCACCCCCAAAAACAATCTCAACCTTCCTTTTGAGGTATTGAACCTTTTGATTAAATTTCATAGAGACCTATGCACTTAAACTAAAGTTATTGTCCGGAATCCAAATGTATGATTTGAATTTATGTTCAATTGAAGATTTCTTGCTGTTGTGCAATACACTGTGCTGTTGTGCAATACTTAGTGAGTCTGTTTTCAGACTATATAAAAAGAATTAGCAAAATAAATTGTGACCCCCAATTTAAAAAAAAAAATTTTACCTCCCAAAAAAATTTTTTTTTTACCCCCCTCCAAAAAAAAAAAATATTTGAAGAGAATTTTCTTTTGAGAAAAAAAATTGCTTTTTCCTAAACGGTTGGGACCATCACCCCTAAAAACAATCCCAACCTGCCTTTTGTGGTATTGAACCTTTTGGTTAAATTTCATAGAGATCCATACACTTAAACTAAAGTTATTGTCCGGAAACCAAATGTCTTTGGACGACGCTGACGCCGACGCCGACGATGTGATACCAATATACGACCGCACAATGTTTTTGCGGTCGTATAAAAAAATACATACGTCGAGAGCACTGAAATCTTATTGATATTCATATTCACGTGTTAGCTCGATTTATATGCCAAATTAGGCCCTTGATCTGGCACACCTATATTCCTAATCGTACATTTTTCAGAGTTGTATATTAAGCAGCCACTGGACGTAAAACAACTAGCAATCAATTATTACATATTATTATTATAGATTTGATGATAATGTTTCTGTACTTATAATTAACCCTCGATGTGTTTAAGAGAAGATGTTAGAAAATTAGATTTGTTAAGCGTTTGTATTGGTTTTTATAAAATTGAGCATGGAAATGGGGAATATGTCAGAGAGACAACAACCCGACCAAAGAGCAGACAATAGCCGAAGGCCACCAATGGGTCTTCAACGCAGCGAGAAAATCCCGCATCCGGAGGTGGTCCTCAGCTGGCCCCTAAATAAAATTGTGTACTAGTTCAGTGAAAATGTACGTCACACTAAACTCCAAAACATATAAATGAACTAAAATTAAAAAACATACAAGACTAACAAAGGCCAGAGGCTTCTGACTTGGGACAGGGGCAAAAATGCGGCGGGGTTAAACATGTTTTGTGAGATCTCAACCCTCCCCCTATACCTCTTGCCAATGTAGAATAAAGAAACACATAGTAATACGCACAGTAAAACTCAGTTCAAAAGAAGTCCGAGTCCGATGACAGAATAGGTAACAAAAGAAACCAAGCAAAATGACAATGATACATAAATGAACAAAGGACTACTAGCAGTTACTGACATGCCAGCTCCAGACCTCAATTAAACTGATTGAAAGATTATGTCTTCATCATATGAAAATCAAGTACAATCCCTCCCGTTAGGGGTTTAGTATCATACCATCATAAAATATATGAGAAGAATATAACCCGTATCATGCCAACAACTGGTTTTAGAATAAATGTGTTCATTTCCGATGCAAAGACCCTATGAGTGAATCAATATTAATACCAAAATATGCAATACTTAATGACTTGACAACAGTTTAATAACTATATCCTTTCCGAATAAGTCTGTTTAAAGGTTTGGTTAACTTCTGAGGTGAATACCGACATGTTTGTGCTTTGTAAAGAATATTACCATAAAATATTGGATGTGAAATACCTGAACGTATAAGATGTCTGCATGTTGATTTATATTTACGAATGATGTCCTTGTACCGATGATAAAATTTAGTAAATGTTTTGACTAGTTTGTGATATCGAAAACCCTGGTGTAATAATTTTTCAGTAATACAGAGATTTCTTTCGTTGAAATCAAATACTTTGTTACATACACGAGCGAATCGAACAAGTTGAGATGTAGTCTATCAATTCTACGGTTCCAAACGGATGCTCATACTTAGGAGATAACTGTATTGTATTTTAAGCTTGGCCTTTGTAAAAGTCGCAATTCGAGTTTACCTAGCGGCGCGTAGCTTTCAGCCTGCTTTTAGTAACTACAAGCATATATTGTATACGTTGTATTCTCTATTATTGCTCTTTGTTATATATTACACCGATATTTTCAGTTCAGTGGTGTTTTTCCTACCATAGGCTGAAGATTTAGATTCGACATTCGTAATATGACATTCATCATTTAAGTTTTGAATCCAAAAATTGAATTTCTAAATCCAATATTTGAAATAGCCAATAAAAAGTGAGATGTACCAGACTTGCTTTGAAGCGCCTTTCTGATTTAAGGTAGCTGCGCGTCTAAATGTTCGTCGATAGATATTTCTAAAACTTCTGTAAAAGACTTCTAGGTCAATGTACTTTCAAATTTCAATATAAAACTGGGAATCACGGACCTTGTTTTTGTTAAGATACACTGAAATTAACGAAATCACAGTTATTTTATATGGGTTATAAAGGGTAAACTAGTTTTTTTTCTTATTTTGGAAACATTATACGAAAGTATTGGTTAACATTCAATGAGAAAATTGCTTTTCATAAATACATCGGAAATATCAAATAAAAATAGGGAGCCACGTGCCTTATTCTCTTGAAAAATCAAAAAAACACATTTCGTCATATCACATTCAATATAATTATCTGTCTTGAATTTGAAAGGATTTGTTTCTAAAAAAATTTAAATACGCTTAACGACACGTAATGTTTTGATAATTTAATCTTTAAATTTCAAGTTGTAGATGTTTCTGTTGTATACTGAATGAAACTTGGTAAAATATTTTAAAACCAAACAAGTATGTTTGCAACATCACCAGAAGGGATGCTCAGAAAAAGACATCAGATCTACCTTAACTTCATCTGGGATGCTGTGAGCCAAACGTCTGAACATCCAAAGATGTACAAAATGTACAGAACAATAGGTGGCAAATGATCAGAAAAATAAATTGAACTTTATAATATTTTAAAGCTTTTCTTCATACTAATTTCCCGAACTATTTTACATTGTTTTTATCTTATTTATACATGCAATATATAAAAATAAGGATTAATTGATTGTTGGTTGATTAACGTCAAGTGACAAATATACGGGTGCCACATGTGGAGCAGGGGTAGTTTTCTATATTGTGTTGTGTGTACTGTTTTCTTTTTTAGCCATGGCGTTGTCAGTTTATTTTCGACTTATAAGTTTGAATGTCCCTTTGGTATCTTTCGCCTCTCTTTTTCATAGATGTTCAGGACGATAAAAATAGGATTCATTATAATTGCAAATGAGACAAATATCCACCAGAGACTAAATGATTTTGATCTGATCTGAGTAAAATATAGGTCATCACACGGTTTCAACAATGAGCAAATCCCATACCGTAAAGTCAGTTATAAAAGTAAAAAGAAACAAAATATGAAACAAGTATGCATTTCTTTATATTCTAATAATAATGGGATTTAAAGCTAGTAAGTCGCTTTCTTCTGATTGGCTATTTTCTAAATTAAAATTAGGATCTTAACAAAATTTACAGATTTTTTAAAATTACGAATCTCGAATTTCAAGTTAAGAATTCAAATTTGAATTCAATTTGGAATTTCTAGTTCTTATTTCGAAGTTAAAAAATTATTCCATTCAGTGGCTTTCGTAGTTACTTCGGTACTGCTTCAAAGAGTATCCATTTTTATAACTCCTTTTCTAGTTAGTAAACAGTTGGAAGCAGACGTTCTTCATTCAATTTGTTACCATATGGACAGTATTGCAAGAGGTGTCGATTAAAAAAGGTATAATATAAAAAAATAAGATGTGGTATGATAACCAATGAAACAACTCTCCACTACAGACTAAATGACGTAGACGTTAACAACTATTGGTCACCGTGCCTTCAACAATGAGTAAAACCCATACCGCATAGTCAGCTATAAAAGGCACCGAAGTGACAAATGTAAAAATTTTCGAACAAAAACCTAACGGCCTGATTTATAAACACAACAATAAAATCACGGCTAAACACCGGAAATAACACGGTGGTGCACTGGTTCTCGCTATATGTATATTTTAAAATCACAAGATTATACCATGGCCAAAGTAAGTTCAAAAAGTCTGCCAGACGTCGGAGCAATCTCTGAATACACCTTGGACGCTGAATAAACTTTATAACCGCATACTCTTTAGCAGCTATCAGATACTGACTTACCCGTACATATTCCGTTTAAATCTTCATAATCTGAACAACAGTAATATTCTCTGAAAAATGATTACATCTTCCTATATTTTTTTAATAACATAGAAAAAAGTAAAATAACAAAAATACTTAACTCCAAGAAATATTCAAAACGGATAAAGTCCCTTATCAAATCAGTAAATATGATGCAGTTTATAATTATGCTTTCTGTGATGCTGGTCATAATGCTCCTACGTACTTTACAAATCCTTGATTTAAAATGGATCAGAAGAGTAAATACAATTTCATTTTTTTTAAACATTAATTGACTCAAGTTTCAAGTATGACAAGATAAAGTATTTGTTTTGAATTTTAAATAACGTGACGATTTATGGTCGAAAAGTTATTCGAAAATGATTTAGCGGTTCATTCAACCTATGCCAACATTTTGAAATTTAGGTATAAAATTGTATGAAAAAATGTTGGCATAGGTTGAATAATTTGTTACAGATTAAGTGTTATAAAAACATAGATTGATTAAGGTCTAATCAATTCACAATCAGTTTAAACTTAGCGTTAAAGTGTACTCAATGCCATTTTTTTACACATACTAGTGAAAATGTAGGTATCAAATAGAACACTTGATACTAGCAAAATTGTGTTAAATTAGATAACAAATTAATAATAAAAAAATAGACAAAAATTCTAAAATTGAACACCTATAAAATAAAATTGAGAATGGAAATGGGGAATATGTCAAAGAGACAACAACCCGACCAAAGAGCAGATATATATATATATACTAGTATATAAAACTTGAGAAAAAATATACAAAAATATCATACTTTAACAAAATCTTGTTTTTTAAATCAAATTAATTTTGCAATATGACATTTAAAATGAATGTTAAATAAAATGATTGTGTTTCTTCATTTGTTAGACGGCGGCATTCTAATGGGACAGTGTGCCCTTTATTTACTTTCTTTTACTTTAGAAAAAGTACTCTGTGTTTGTTTTTATTTATTAAACTGATCTGTAATATTTGTGGTTACATTTTTTGTCGCCAATTTGTAATTTGAAATTCCATCATTCGCAAGTCAGTATGACAAATGCACAGTTAGATATTCAGTTGTCACTAATAGATTAGAGTCTAATCCACAATGGATACCAATAGGGCCTCTGTGGCACTAATTTATATGTAGAAGATATGATGATGCATCTGCACACTCAAATGGTGTCATGTTGTCATCCTAGAGTCTCTAGTTTAGGTCAGCTAGCCTGTTGTCATTTTCAATGTACTTTCTTTGACGATGTTTACCACTTGCTGAGTTCTGTATTATTCTAAACTCTGTAGCTGCTTGCTGTTTCTTCAGTAGTTTTACTAATATGATGGCTCCATGGAAGTTATGGAGTCTTACAACTTCAGTGTTGACAGGCTAGTAATGCAGTAATTCTGACTACTTAGACCACCCGGCCACTGATGCCCTATTGGTATCCATTGTGGATTAGACTCTTATCTATTGGTGACAAACTGAATATCTAACTGTGTATTTGCCACACAGAGTATTTTTTCCTGAAGTAAAACTAGATAATCAAAGGGCGCACTGTCCCACTGGAAAGCCGCCGTGTAATAAATAAAGAAAAAAAATCATTTTATTAGATATCTATTTAAAATTTCATATTGCAAAATTAATTTGATTAAAAAAAATGTTAAAGTATGGTATTTTTGTATATTTTATTGGTTGTTTGTAGCATGTTTCATATTTAATATAACAAAATAATAAACAAAAGATATCATAAAAATTCACAAAAGAAATAGCTTGTTAACTTTAATTCTCAAGTATTATATATATATACAAGTGTTCAATTTTAGAATTTTTGTCTATTTGTTGTTATTAATTTTGTATTTAATTCAACACAATTTTGCTAGTTTCAAGTGTTCTATTTGAACATTTTTTCCTTTTTAGGTTTTTTTTTAATAAATTCATTTTTACTACAACACAATTTTGCAAATACTTTTTGTTTCTAATTTTTAAAAGAGTTAATGAATTTTTGTCTATTTGTTGTTATTAATTTTGTATTTAATTCAACACAATTTTGCTAGTTTCAAGTGTTCTATTTGAACATTTTTTCCTTTTTAGATTTTTTTTAATAAATTCATTTTTACTACAACACAATTTTGCAAATACTTTTTGTTTCTAATTTTTAAAAGAGTTAATATTCAAAGCTTAAATATACTGACTGTATTTTACCTGTTAGTAATTAATAAGTGTTATAACAACACCTATTGTATTTTGGATGTAGGCATAGGTTGAATATAAATTTATCAAAAGTTGGCATAGGTTGAAGACACCATTCACACCGATTTAGCGATTAGTTTAATATGAAGATTAAAAGTTAACTGAGAATTATACAACGGCTTAATAAATGAGATAGCAAACCTTCATATACACACGCATAGAGAGGAAAGCCAACTGGGGTCAAGCTAGTTAAACAGTCCTTAACAAAATGACTAATACCGTATTTCAAGTTCAAAATCGCCACAAGTCGAGAAAAAAGTTGTGAATACAATCGGTGACTACCAAAGATCTACCTCAAAATTTTATTCATGTTTGATTGTACTTGTGACGAAACAAGTTATACATTTTCAATCGGTCAATTTGTCGATATCCCTGCTGATGGACTGGTAGTCCCAAAGGTTATCACCAGCCCAGTAGCCAGTATTTCGGTATTGGTATGAAAACACTGGCATGAAAATACGGACGGATATTGTGTTATAAAAATTTACAAAATTCTGAAATTATTTTACAATACGGAATTATATCTTAATCCATCATGCAATGCTTTGATTCCTTGCCCGGTTTTTGCTATATATACTTTTTGTCTTTTTGGTTTCAAAGATCTTCATTCAATAAGTTTCGGATTTTCAAATATGTTGGCCTCGAGCATTTATTGTCGAAATGCGCAATTGGTGCAATAAAATTGGTACCGTTAATGTTATATTGCTTTTAAAAATCATTACCTTAAAAGAATCGGTTGAAGCCCTTTCTTCTTTCAAATTCTTTAAATAAATCGTCATATAATCTATAATAATTTAGTAAAAGTGTTGACCAACGATACATTACATTTGTAAAGAGACAGCAAACAACGGGGAAAAAACCCATTAGGCTGTGTATCAAAAGATGAACGAACTTATATTGTGTAAAACTCGTGAGATCATTATTTATTGACCGATCTTTCGATTATTTAATTTTTCTACCAATGACTCCAAGGGCGCATATGTTGCCTCTTAACTGGTTTCGGTTTCCGATGTTTGATATACCTTCTACTGTTCTTCAAATTGGTTCCGAAACTGAAACCTGATTAACAGTTGTTTCCAGAAAACCAAAACCGGTTTCCTAAACTTATCAAACCTCTTCATGTGATTTGAATAGTTTCACAAACCAATATCAGAACTTTTCATTTGTTTCGAAACTGGTAAACCAAAACCGGTTTTAAACCATTCAAAAACCCAAACTAAAACCAGTAGGCTGCAACAAATACGGCTCAAGTTACTTCTACATCATCAGTACAATTCTAGCACCATGTTACTTACCTTAATACAGTATTAAAACATGCATGCAGATCATCTTTATCAATACAAATGGCTTGTGTAAACAACAGATATACAATAACTGTTACCAACATCTCGATAATTTAACGACACAAAATTACGGAAATAATTCATGGAATCGTAACCTAATTTGTTAAGTACAACAGGATGCAAAAACAATTGACTTTTCCTATTTTCCCGTTATGGCGCTGATCACACAGGAAAAAAACCCCGAGAAAATGTTTGATGTGGTAATTGTTATTTAGTCACGTTATTCAATTCGTCAAAGTCCAACCATTCAGCGTATTTTCATTACGAACAAATTTTCATTACTTAAAAGTTTTTTACAGCAAGAATATTTTATATATATATATATATATCATAAATGTGTCAGGGCTTTTGCTAAACTTTATCAGAAATATTAAGATTGTTTGTGAAAGTATGATTTCACGTGTAGGAATTTAATAAAAAGTGGAAATTTGCATCCAGCTTTTTACGGCAATACTGTTAATAAAGCTTACAAATTTAGAAATTGCACTTCAATATGTCTCCTTGGTTCTATAGACCATATTGATAAAGGTTATAAATATACTGCTGTTGTTCAATTAATGCGACTCGCATATTTTTTTTTAATATTTTCTGAATATAGTCTAAAGTAATACTAAAATGTGTCTTATTTTCCTGTTCTGTTTTGTGGCATTGTACAAGACCATCTCTTCAAGAAATGTATTATTATGTTACTGTATACATTCTATGGAAGTACGGCTACCGATATTAAGTGTAGGACGGCAAGATTTGTTTGGAGGAAAAGTGCTTTGAGATTGCTTTCAGTAACTGCGAGCATGCTGTATATTAGTTATTTCTTTTGTGTTTTTGTTATCTCTTATATCGTTAATATCTTAGAGCCAAGTGCGTTTTATGCAATCGATGATTGTTTAAATGCGGTCTCTTCTGTACGCAGATCAACCGATCAAGATTAAATAAAATGCTTCGCTGAGCGCAGCCAGACACGACCGCAGAGGTCTAACCCTGAACAGTTGGGGCAAGTTTGGACACAATATTCAAGCTTGATACTGTCTAAATTTGGATTGTGATCCAATTTTTGACATAATATAGGTTTCCATCACAAAATTAATGTGGTCAAAGATCTTAAAATTTTGAAATGGGAATTTAATTTACCTAGAATGGTCTGATATCCAAAATCTAACAACATGGTTTGATTCAGCATATAAAAAAACACCAAAAATTTAATTTTAGTTGAAATCAAACAAAGTTTATTTTTGGACCAATTTTGGACCCTTCAAACCTTAATATGGACTAATTTGAAAAAAGGGCCCAAAATAAAAAATCTAAATGCACAATAAGATTCAGCATATCATACAGCCGCAACAATTCAGTTTTTGATGAAATCAAACAAAGTTTAATTTTGGACACTTTTGACCTCAGTGTAGACCAATTCAAAAATGGGAACCAATATCCAAAAAAGTAATACAAGGTTAGAACCCCCAAAAAATTAAAGACTTTAAATTAATCCCATTGAAATTGGTTAAAAGATTTGTATTTATTTTCAATTGAAGATTTCTTGCTATTGCGCAATACTATGCAATTTAAGATTTCGTGGTAAATATTGTGCAATACTGTGCAATTGAAGATTTCTTGCTATTTCGCATTACTGTGCTATTGCGCAATATTGGCCGATTGAAGATTTCTTGCTATTGCGCAATACTGTAAATTGAAGATTTCTTGCTATGGCGCAATACTGTGCTATTGAAGATTTCTTGCTATTGCGCAATACTGTGCTATTTAAGATTTCTTGGTATTGTGCAATACTGTGCAATTGAAGATTTCTTGCTATTGCGCAATACTGTATAATTGAAGATTTCTTGTTATAGCGCAATACTGTCTATTGAAGATTTCTTGCTATTGCGCAATACTGTGTTATTTAAGATTTCTTGGTTTTGTTCAATACTGTGCAATTGAAGATTTCTTGCTATTCCGCAATACTGTGCTATTGCGCAATATTGGCCAATTGAAGATTTCTTGCTTTTGCGCAATACTGTATAATTGAAGATTTCTTGCTATTGCGCAATACTGTACTATTGTGCAATACTGTGCTATTGCGCAATATTGTGCAATTGGAGATTTCTTGCTATTGCGCACTGAATACTGTGCTATTGCGCAATACTTTGTTGTTGCTCAGGGGAGGGGCGACAGCCTTAAGTGCTGTGTGCAAAAAAATTTTAGGTCACGTGGTACGATTTTAGCGTCCCTCGGCAATTTTGAATCTGGTAAAAGATCGATTTGTTCATGTTTTAATATCAAATATTATCTCTTGCATTCGCAGAAAATATAGAAAGTTTTGAAATAAAAAGATTAATCAATGATAGAAGATCACGTTATATGAAATATTTTTATTATTTTATTACCTTTTGAAGTAAATTTTATAAATGCACTGTAATGGCGGGAATTTTTATTCGATCTCTGCGAAATCACGAGGCACAGATTTTTGCTAATTTTACAAATGTCAGCAAATGAAAATTATTCAAATTTATGCCAATTCAAGAACACTATTCGAACATGTTAAATCTTCTTAAGTCTCGAAAAGTCTCCAGCCGTTGCTTCGTAATAAGTCGCTAAAATATGATTTCCGGTAAGTAAAATATGCAAAAATATTTGTCAAATCCGCGACTACATATGTTATTTTAGGCATATAAATGCATATGTATTTTAATTATTTTGAAAACAAAATGAAAATTTTGTCTTATGAATAGCCATGATGAAAAATTATAGTTTTTTTCATTATTCAATCGTGCATTATTTGTGTATTGGATTGCTTAATTGCCTTCTCTCTAGTGTTATCTCTGTTTTGTTAACTGACAAATGACGAAATAATGCAGTATTTAATATTTAGTATTTTACAAAACTTTGTCCCGATTAAAAACTTAAAACCGACTGAATAAATTAAAATATGAGAATTCAGTGATTATCGATGTCGAAATTAGCCCTTGGTAATCAGTCAGTTTTGTTTGGGTATAAATATGTTTATTCCCAAGAAATAACTAACAAATTTGTTTATAATGTATGTACAAAGTATATGTATATTGTATAATCAGCCCTTCTGTATATTACTTGTTTTTTTAATTGATTCAACAAATTTCGCTTGTCCAGGTGTCAATAACGGTGATGTCCACACCACGAGATGTTTGATAATTATTGACACAATACCACCGCGACCAATTGATAATATAAGACAAATCTGCGTGCCGTGTGCAAAGTGTCGTCCCTCCTCTAGTTGTTGCGCTATACTTTGTTGTAGCGCAATACTATGCTATTGCGAAATACTGTGCAATTAAAGATTTCTTGCTATGGTGCAATACTGTGCAATTGGAGATTTCTTGCTATTGCACAATACTGTGCAATTGAAGATTTCTTGCTATTGCGCAATACTGTGCAATTGAAGATTTCTTGCTATTGCCCAATACAGTGCAATTGAAGATTTCTTGCTATTGCACAATACTGTGCTATTGCTCAATACTGTGCTATTGTGCAATACTGTGCTATTGCGCATTACTGTGCAATTGAAGATTACTTACTATTGCGCAATACTGTGCAATTGAAGATTGCTTGCTATTGCGCAATACTGTGCAATTGAAGATTTCTTGCTATTACGCAATACTGTGCAATTGAAGATTTCTTGCTATTGGCCAATACTGTGCTATTACGCAATACTGTGCAATTAAAGATTTCTTGCTATTGCGCAATACTGTGCAAATACATTTGAAATTTCAAAAATTTTGAAGAAAAAAAAATATGAACCCCAACTGAAAAAAATTGGGAATAAAAAAAATCCCCCCAAACTTTTTGAACCCCTCCCCATTGGAGTAATTACCCCCAAATTAATCCCAGCCTTCCCTTTGTGGTATGGAACCTTGTGGTACAATTTCTGAGAGATCTATACACTAACACACAAGTTATTGGCCGGAAACAACAAAAATGCTTGTTTTTGGCCCCTAATTCCTAAACTGTTGGTAACATAACCCCCAAAATCAATCCCAACCTTCCTTTTGTGGTATTGAACCTTCTGGTAAAATTTCATAGGGATCCATGACGACGACGACACCATAGCATTATACGACGCAAAATATTTTGCGGTCGTATAAAAAAAGGGGGATCGAGATATAAAAAAAAAATAATTTAACCCCGCTACATTGTTATGTGCCTGTTCAAGGCCAAAGTCAGTAGCTGTCGAATGTCATTGCAAATGGGTTTTTGTCTCATTATTTCGTGAGAATTAGGTGTTGATGGCAGATCTTTGATTATTTCTGTTCAAAACTTGCATAGTATCGGGACGATTGAAAGATTAAAATATTGTATTGGCACCTCTCTAAATAGTGTACCAATGTCTTGAGACCAATGTCCTATTTACAAGTGCGATCGGGGAATGCAGGGGAAAGAAACTTATCAATTATGTTTATTCTTAAGACAAAAATGAGCCGCCGTAAAATGAACCGTGTCGAGGAGGTTACTGGCACGTAATATCTGTCTCTGTAATAGGGTCATCTCTCGAGAACATTAACTAGTACATTGATAATTTACTATGCAGTCAATATCCCGAAAAAAACCGTATGGATGCAAAACGCTTAGTGGTTTCGGCTGACTACTAATACGTGCACTTTGTCTCAAAATATCCCGGCAGCGTTAAAGTTGAAGTCAGGATCTTGGGGGGGGGGGGGGGGGGGGGGGGGGGGGGGGCTCTTCTTTTTCTGTGTTCTTTATTTTTTTATTAGCTATATTTCTACAAATTTACACTTTTTGCTCATTACTCTCTTTCCTCATATTTCAGCGTTTGCCCGTTATTCTCTATTATGTTAACTTACCCCCATCCAAACCCTCTTATGTGGACTTAAGCTTTCGGTAGTTTATTTTATCCTATTTCTGTCTATGTGACTGTAAATACATTTTTTATCACAAAACAAAAACTTACTAGATATTTTTTTATGAAGTCCTCACCAGTTGCGGAAAATGTCATAAGGAGACACTAACTGTCATGCATAAAGAGGGGACCCGCTTCAGTGATTCTCTAAATA